GGGGGATTGGAGGAAGGGGAACAAGCAAGTTGCTGTCCTTTTGTTCTTCAGTCTAGTTGTGGAGGACGTCACTTCACTGGCCCATGTTGGTATTATCTTTGCGCTCTTCCCTGCTGAGGCAGATCCGTGGCCCAGCCTCTGGACAGCTGCTCACTGCGGCTCTTGGCAGCTCACGCTGGCTGCCAGCCTCTCACGGTAGCTTTACGGCAGCCCACTGCAGCAGGGGCTGCAGCCTACGCCGTCGTTGGTGAGGAGTAGGGAATTTTTTTAAATAAAAGGTGTAACTGAAGAAAACAGTAGCAAAACCTACCAGGTTTAAAGAGCTTTTTGTATGTATTAACTCATATAAGCTCATAACAGTCCAGTAAGGCAGGAGCTACTACTAATATTATTCCCATTTTATAGAGGGGAAACTGAGGCATGGGAAAAAGGTTTATTCATCCTCCTAAGATTATATACCTCGTAAGTGGTGTAGCTGGGATTTAATCCAGGCAGTCTGAGCCTGAACTAGTAAATGTCTTTAAACCAAAAATAGCAGAAAGAATAAATAAAGCCTATTTTTTAGAAAAAAACTCACAGGCAACAATTATGAAACATGGGTAATAATACAGTTAAACAAAAAAAGAATCACAAATGGAATATACCTGAGGTCAGCCTGGAATGAGAAAGAACATACAGCAGCAATTAGAAATTAAGAAAACAGTTTGTGTGCCTGTGTGACAATAAACTTAAAAATCTGGAGGAAACAGACAGCTTCTTAACAAAACATGACCCAAGTCAAAAGAGAAGTATTAAAAATGTAGTCTAGGGCCGGCTGAGTGGCGCGTTGGTTAAGAGCTGGCTTCGGACGCCAGCTCTGAGCAGCCGGGCCCCAGTTTGGATCCCACATGAGGGCCAGTGACACTGCCCTCTACAGCTAAGATGCTGAACAACAGCTCCACCTGGAGCTGGGCTGCTGTGAGTCGCCATCCGGGGCGTAGGCTGCAGCCCCTGCTGCAGAGGGCTGCCATAAGCTACCGTGTGTGGCCGGCAGCCAGCATGAGCGGTCGGCAGCCGGTATGAGCTGCCAAGAGCCACCGTGAGCAGCTGTCCAGCGGCCGGCGACCGATCTGCCTCACCCGGGGAAGAGCGCAATGATAATACCAACATGGGCCAGAGAAGCGACGTCCTCCACAACTAGACTGAAGAACAAAAGGACAGCAACTTGACTGTTCCCCTTCCCCAATTCCCCAATAAAATCTTTAAAAATATATAAAAAATAAAATAAATAAAAATGTATTCTAATGTATTAATCATTCTTTTGTCGTTTGTCTCCTTGATATTTTGACTAAGAAATCCTTTCTGGGCCAGCCGAGTGGCTCAGTTGGTTAAGAGCTCACTCAAGAGTTTGAGCTCTGAGTAACAGTGGTTTGAGTCCCGGCCGGAGCTGAGCAGCCACTGAGCTGCCAACAGGTGGCAGGAAGGCTCAGCTTAAAAAAAAAAAAAAAAGAAAGAAAGAAATCCTTTCTATCCAGATATTCTCAAAAAAGTTTTGCTTTTCCAATACAGTAAAACCTTGAATTGCGAGTAACTTGTTTTGCGAGTGTTCCGCAAGACGAGCAAACATTTCTAATATATTTTAATGTAGTAAACGAGCAGTGTCTTGCAATACGAGTAGTTTGTTTCCAGAATAAATTATGCTCGCAAACCAAGGTATTACTGTATTTAGATTTAGACCCATCTGGGAGGGGATTGGCTGTCTTATTCACCCCACACGGCAAGGACCTTCAACAGAGCATATAGCAGGCACTCAACAAACATTTGTTAAGTGAATTAGGGCAGGCTGTTGTGTGTCAGCGCTGAGGAAACGCATACCTGGATGGTCTTACCCAGGACAAATGAAAGCATACAGCCACACAAATACTTGTACATGAAAGTTCATAGCAGCCTTATTGCTAATAGCCCCCAAGTGGAAACAGCCATCAACAGGAAAATGGATAATCAAACTATATCCACACAATGAAATTCCACTCAGCAATAAAAAGGAATGAAGTATTAATAATCATGCTGAGTGAACGAAGCCAGACTCAAAAGGCTAAATACTGTATGATTCCATGTATAAAAAATCCTAGAAAATGCAAACTAATCTAATGACAGAAAGCAGATCAGGGGTGACTGGGGAGTAATGGGGTATGTTAAATATTTCCTAATACATTCACATCTGTCATCTGTAAGGCCACAGAAATATGAGTTGGACAACAAAAGCTTTATCACCTTTTGATGATAAAGATGAAGAAACTGGGTGCCCAGAGACCATATGATTTGCCTGAAGTTATCATCTGGCTCATTGGTAACATTTTTATATCTCTTGCTTCTACATGAAGCAGTATTCCTCTCACTGTACTTAAATGATCATTTCCCCTTCGTCTCAGGATTCTCATTCAGACCTGATCCCTGGAGAAACAGAGAGAGAGAGAGAGAGAGAGAGAGAGAGAGAGAGAGAGAGAGAGCCAGTGGCAGAGTGACCGACAACTCCCAGGTACCCACAGAAGTTCAAGGCTGGCCCCTTGCTCATTCATCTTCTCTCTAGGATCTCAAACTCCTCAGCACTACTTGAAACATGCTAAGAGTCCCCAACAGTGTAGACAGTCATCCACTTTGAGTTAAGGCAAGCCTGCTTTTCCTAAAACTGTGCCTGGCCGTGAGGGAAGCCATCAATCTTAGCCCAGTAATTGAAAATTGCTACTGTATTTATGGAAATTTCAATGAGAACATGGTCTATACATCTGCTCGCAGAGATTCCTCTGGATGAATTCTCTGCCCTTCTCCAGGTGTCTGACCTGAATTTTCTGCTGCAACAAAAGGAGGCACTATATTTGTCAAGAGCAGGGCACCTCGGTCTGAATTTTGTGTGCCAGTCCGGTCCCCTAGGTTCATGTTCCCTTTCTGACCCTCATTTCCCTTTAGATTTTCTTTTTTTTAAATTCTCTTGTATTTTTATTTTATTTTATCATATATGTCTCTTTAATTCCTTCCTGGAACAAGGCAGGAAAACAGGCATCAAGTAAAAATTTTAAATAAAATGTGGATAATGTTTATGTCTGAGGGTTGTTGAGAGGATTCGAGAAGGTAGGGTATGTTTATGCACTTACAAGAGGGGCTGGAACATAGGAAGTGCTCGGTAAAAAATAACATTTTACCAGCACAGCCAACTTTATTTGTGAAACAAGGAAAATAAAGGCTTACCTCTTAAAAAATAATATTAACATTTTACCTTCTCACGACCCCAGCCCAGCACTCCCAGCCCTTTGTCCTACTTGATGTTTTCTTCCATAGCATTTAGGACTTTTAAATATCTTATATTAGGGTCCTCAGCTTAAGCATCGGGGGGCCAGATGATTCTCTGTTTTGGGGGCGTCCTGTGCATTGTAGGGTGTTGAGCAGCATCCCTGGTCTCCACCCACTAGATAGCAGTTATCACAATCCACCTTGACTTTTGACAACCACAAATGTCTCCAGGCTCGGCCCAATGTCCCCTGGGGGGCATAATCGCCCCCAGTTGAGAACCGCTATCTATACAACTTACTGTTTCACTATTTCATTATTTCCTGTCTGTCTCTCCTGACCCCCTACTAGAACGTCTGCTCCATGAAGGAGGGAATTCGCTCATTCGGGGCATTGATGCCTGCCAGTATAGGTGTGGATGTGAACAAAATTTCACCTCTGTGTCCAGATTTCATTTCCTTTTTAAGTTTTGTGTTGTGCCCAACCTCACTGTGCTTAGCAAGCACATCAAAGCCTTCTAGTTGATGATTATCTGTGTTCCTTAAAATGTAGCTATAAATATTTTTGTTAGGAATGGCATGACAATGGAGGTAAATTTCAAACTGTGACGGTATGGATTTAAACAATCACCTATCACAAGACTACCAGGAGGCACAGCCCCCGGCACTGCTTCATTCTTTGCTCCTTTGTCTTGTCAATCATTAGTACTGAGTTATACTATAAAAAGTACAGAAACAGGGGTCTGGTACCAGAGAATCATCTGCATAGAATTGCTCTGCTCTGACCCAATCTTCCTGTAAGTAAATTACCCCATAATAAATTCTGTTATAGTCTATGAAGTTGCCTGCATAGTTCTTAGGTCTGAAGATGCCTTCTTGTTACAGTGGCCATTACACCTTTGTACTGCTGTCGGACGATGCCCAGTTCCTAGATCGATGCCTGGCACACTGTATGTGTTCAATATTTGTTGAAAAAAATGAATGAACATTTAGTGAGTTTTGTGCCTGCTGATGGTGCCAAGGCTTGATAAGCATAACCTCATTTCTTTGTCACAGCATCCCTTGAAGGATGCCCTGTCACTGTCCCTCTTTGCATAGAAGAGAAAAACTGGGGCTTCTAGAAGCTACATACATACATTCCCTCCACCCATTCACCTAAGAGTTGAGTCCAGAAGCTTAGCTGACCACCACCTAACAAACATCTGTGTTCTCCCTTCTGGCCAAGTGTTGAATTAAGGGTCAACCTCTGGCAGGCACCTGTGGAAGAGTTGAGGAGGGAAGCTGAGCCGGCCTGTGGGGGCCAGACCTGAGGGGGCTCTCTCAGGGACCCAGAAAGAGGGACTGGAACTGGGCCAGGTTCAGCTGGTCCCTCTAGGGGGGAAACCCAGCCCCTGACCTGTAAGAGATGGGGACTGAGCTCCAAAGCAAAGCCCCCAGCACCAGCCAGGAGATGTTGCTATAGCTACCAAACACACACACACACACACACACACACACACACACACACATACTCCACTGCCCATCCCCTTCCACTCTTCTACCCTTCCTTTACTCCCCACTCTCCCACTTCCCCTATCTCACCTTAATGTTACCCTTAGCCCAGCCCAGAAAAGGCTCAGCCTTGTAATTGGTTAATGGATCCTTGGTACCAGGAATTAAGAGGCGGGAGATAGGAAGGAAGGAAGAGAGACAGGATGGGGTGTGGGAGGAGACTATATTTATATCTATGTCCAGGGCTGGGAGCCTGCTCACCATGGACACTGCCGGGTACAGCAAGTGGGATGGCAGGCTGGAGGAGGTCCTCAGAGGTATGAGCAATGGGACTGCCTCACTGGCCCCCTTGGGTCCCTCTCCAGACAGTGGTTTGGGGGCTGATGGGGGAAGGGAGGGCAACAGCCAAGAGAGGGTACAGAGCCGGCCCAGTGGCGCGTTGGTTAAGAACTGGCTTGGGACGCCAGAGGGCCCTGGTTCGGATCCCACATATGAGGGCCAGTAACACTGCCCTCTAAAAAAAATAAAAAGAAAGAAAAAAAGAGAGAGGGTACAAGTAGTGGGTGCAGGAGAGACACCACAGGCTCTAGAGCCAACCGGACGTGGGTTCAAATTTCAACTCTGCCACTTAAGGGCTGTGTGACCATAGGCAAGTTACTTAACCTCTCTGAATCCCAATTTCCCGGGAGAACCCAAGCGTCCAGGGCTCAGTCCTGGCTCAGGGATCCAGAACAATCCTAGTGCAGAAGAGACCCAAGAGTCCATTGTTATCCAAGGGTACCGGGGACACTGGGGACGGCGACTCCTCTTCCTAGCCCTGGCTCTCGTGGTCACCACAGTCCTGTGGGCCTTCATTCTGAGCATCCTACTTTCCAAAGGTGAGTGACCCTCTATAATGGGGAGATTGCGTCCCAGCCTTCCCCCACCCCCGGTATTGTTCTTCCTTCCGCCAGAGGGCCCACCAGCGGGGTCCCTGATCCTTGCCTGGGACTGAGTGTGAACACGTGTGAACAGTTTGTGTGCATCTTCGGGCTTTGTGTACCCCACATGTGTGTGTATGTGCGTGCAGAAATGTGAGTGCATGGTGCGCTTGTCTCCCATCGGCTCATGGGCACATCATGTGCGCTGTACCCCTGCCCGTCTCCTCGATGGGTCCCAAGACGTGGGTCCCGCACTCTCCGGCGAGGGGAGAGTTCAGGAGTCCCCGGGACCTCGCCTTTAGGAACTTCTCTTCGCAGCCTCCACGCAGCGCGGGGCGCTGCTGGACAGTCAGAACCTGCTGAAAACAAACGGTGAGTGCAGGCCCGGGGCTCCTGGGTCCGTGAGTGAGTGGGTACCCCAGGGTTCCTGGAGCTGGCCACGGGGCTGCCCCCCGAAGGGGCGGAGGAAGGGTGGCCCGTGAGTCCCTGCGGGTGACCTGGAGTATGTGGGGCGGGCGTGGGTCATTCCAGCCTCGAAGCAGACGGCGGCGCTGGGAGCCTTGATGAAGGAGGTCGGAGTCTGCAATAGCTGCTGTGAGACAAGTGGGCTGAGGGGGCGGGGCCTAGAGACGCGTCTCACGGGCTGGGGACAGGGCTGTGGCCAGGATTCCAGGTCTCAGCTGTCCCGCCCCATCTCCGCCCTCTTCCCAGGCCTGAAGACGCAGGCGCAACTGCAGACCGCGCGCACCGAGCTTGGGGAGGCGCAGGGGAAGCTGCTGGAGCACCAGAGCGCCCTGAAAGACCTGAGCGAGCACGGTGAGGGGGGGATGTCGCCACGACCCCTGACCTCTCAACGCGCCAGTCACCCGACCCTTGGTTCACATCCTGATCCCTCTGTGACCCCAGACCCTATTCTGTGGTCCTGACCTCAAACTCCAATCTTGTCCCCCAACCCCGACCCTGAACCCTGGACCCTGCCCTTGACTACAAGTCTTAACCTTCGCCACCGCTGGACCCTACCCAGCTGAAACAGTCCTTGGCCATGTTGTCATTTTTTACCGCAACACTGACCACGGACATGAATGCTGCCCTCTGTCTAATGGCAACCCTACTCCTAACCCTGACCCCGGCTATAATCTGGGCTCCCTTGACCTCGCAGTGACCCAGAGGTTGGCTGAAGCGGGCAGGGACCGCGAGAGCATCCGCAGCGAGCTGTTCCGAGCGTTGGAGGCCGCACGATTTGGGAACAGTGAGCAGGACCGGGTGGGGTAGACTGACGGAGACAGGTGGACCGTGGGCCTTGGGGTTCCCTGATCGGCCGGGATCCGCCCTTTGACCTTGGCCTGTTCTCCATGGCTCTGTCCCTGCGCCCCCGGGGTCCACCCCCAATCCCCTCCGTCTGCTCCACCAGCGAGCAATCTACCTCTTTGACCCTTTCCACCCCGCAGGCTCCTGCGAGCAGTGCCCCACGTCGTGGCTGCCCTTCCAGGGCTCCTGCTACCATTTCTCTGTGCCGCGGGCCAGGTGGGAAGAAGCGCAGCTCAACTGCTCCGCCGCGGGAGCGCACCTGGTGATCGTCGGGGGACTGGAGGAGCAGGTGCGCGGCCTAGGTGGTCCCAGGAGAGAGGCGGAGTTCGCCTGACGGGGCGGGGCCCGGGAGGCGTGTGCCGGCCCAGTGGACTCAGCTGACTCAGTTGGCCTTTCCATCCAGACCTTCCTGGCTCGGAACGCGGGAACCCGCGGCTACTGGCTGGGCCTGAGGGCTGTGCGCCGCGCGAGGAAGATCCAGGGCTACCAGTGGGTGGATGGAGCCCCGCTCAGCTTCAGGTGAGAGAAGGGTCTTGGGGAGGGTGACAGGTCAGACCTTACGGGCAGTGCTTTGGACAGATCTCAGGGACTCCTTAGGGATGGGCAGACTAGTCCCAAGAACTGGCCAAGAGATAAATTCTGGGAAAGTTATAGCCCAGGTGCATTTTCAAGTTAGATCCTCAGGCTGTCTAGGTTAGACCCAAGAATTAATAGCCCAGACCCTGAAAGCTGGACCCCAGGGCTATCCTCAGCCTAGACCCCCCCCCCTGAAACATCCCTGCCAAACTGCTGCAGCCACTGGAACCTGGGAGAGCCCAATGACTCTCGGGGGCTCGAGGACTGTATCATGATGCTGCACACCGGGTTATGGAACGATGCACCGTGCAACAGCATCAGAGACAACTGGATCTGCGAGAAGAGGTTCAGCTGCTGAGCCCTGCCCAGTGTCCCCAAACCACACCTACCGCCACAAGTGTGATTGCCTGAGCTGCTCACCCTCCGGGCTCCGCACACCACCATCGATTTCCTCCCTCACCCACCCACCACTACTGAGAATCAAAGGCCTAATCAGCCCGGTCCCATTGCCTTCACTCTGGGACCTCCTCTCCAACTTCACCATAAACCCTCCCACGTGGACCTAACTTAGCACCCACCCCTTCCAAAATCCTGGCTTCTGGGCCCTGTGATATGACCCCACTTCCCTCCCTAGCCAAGATCAGGTAATTCTGAGATGGAGCTGTTTGGTCTTCTTGCAATTTTTCCCCCCAGACTAGAAGGACTCAAAGAAAGGGGTTTTGTGAACTGTCCTCAAAGCCCTAGGGAGCAACAATAAATGTTTGAGAAATGAATCTTGGCTCCTGGCTCTGGCAAGTTTTTCTAAGCTTTATCCCAAAACCTCTGACATGATCCCTGTGAGTGACCCCAGCCTCTCTAAGTGACCTCATGGCTCTATGATGCTCCAAAACCCAGTGAGTAGCCTGCACTGGGCCAGGAGGGCTGTGGGGCACTGGGGACACAAGACTGAGTCAGACCCAAGCCTTACCATGCTCCCCCACAACCTCTTCCTTCTGGTCTGGCTAAGCACAGGGACAATGTGCCCAGTGACTCAATGGAGGAATGCATGAATGAGTGACACAATGCATTTGAAGGAGCCATCTGTGTCTTCAGGGAGAGGGACTGTGCAGAGATACCAAAGTGATGGTATCCTTGAGGAGAATGGCACTGCATTGTGGAGAGACAAGGCCTTGAGGCAGGTGTGAGAGGGATTGCCCAGATCTGATGAGCAGGTCCCTTCTGTCTCTGGCACTTAGGTTCTGTGATCACTGGGTATGGCAATCAGGAAATACATCCCAGAGAAGAAGGATTTTCAAGGAGCAATGAGATTGCAGCAGGTGGAGCTGGGAAGGGAGGGTTTTGCAGGTGGAGGATATTGGAAGGTATTAAGTATGGCTGAATCCATTTGCGGGGTGCAGGGTGCACAGAGCCTGGCTTTATCAGCTGGGGACTTTTGATCTGAATTTACTCTGTACTCCCAAAGTTTTCTGCTCCCATCCTGGGGACCTGGGGGCTCTCCTGGAATTTCCAGTGGAGATGAGTCTAACTAAGGGGTGTGACAGGCTATCAGCCTTTAGTTCCATGCAGAGCTGAGTCCAGAACCAAAGCTGCTGGGAGCCCCCAGGTTGCAAGGCCCTGAGAGCATCGACTGAGCAGGAAGAAGAGAGAACACCCAAATGCCCTGGCCAGGTGAAATCTTTCAGTTGTATAACCAGCCAACCCCTCAACCCTTTCGTGGACCCTCTACAACTACAGCCCAGAACAAGGCACTGGTCAGGCCAGGTGCTGCCTGACTCCTGGAGAGATAACACACCTAGTGGACTGTTGGCCAGAGGGATGGATTTGCAGATGGTTGGCTTGGAGGAGGAAATGAGTTTCTTAGGGTGACTGTGTCAAATGACCACCAACTTGGTGGCTTAAGACAAACACATATTCCCTACAATTCTGGAGGTCAGAAGTCCAAAATTAGTTTTACTGGGCCATAATCAAGGTGTCACCAGGGCCAGGCTCCATTTGGAAGCTCCAGGGGGAGAATCCGTTCTCTTGTCTTTTCCAGCTTCTAAAGCTGCACCCCTCACATTCTCTGGCTCATGGCCTCTTCTTCCATCTCAAAGCCAGTAGGGTAGCATCTTGCTTCAGTGGTCACATTGCCTTCTCCTTCTGGGTGACATCTTCCTCTGTTTCCTTCTTATAAGGACATTTGTGGTTGCACTTAAGGCCCACCCTGGTGATCCAGAATGATCTCCTGTAATACTGCAATGCAATTGTGGCACTAACTACCCTGAGTTAGTGCATATGCTACCCACAGAGTTAGGGCACAGTTCCTAACAAGACTGCCCTCACTGCAAGTTGGAGGGTCCCCAGGCCACCCGTACTTCTAACCAACTAATTCTGAGCAACCAGTCTCACAACCCGCCCTGGTTCTATAATTTACTAGAATGACTCAGAACTCAGGAAAGCTCTATGCTTACAGTTACAGTTTTTTGTGAAGGACACAAATCCAGACTAGCCAAATGAAGAGACCCATAGGGTGAGCTGCCAACAGGTGGCAGGATGGTTCCGCTGGTGAGTGCACGTGCTCCTAACAACAAAGTTGCCTGTTCGATGGTGGGCTATGCCCGCCCGCAACTAAAACTGAGCTCAGCACTTTGAGTTGAGCTGCCACCCGGATGGCTCAGTGGATAGAGCATGCGCTCTTAACAACAAGGCTGCTGGCTCGGCTCCCGCATGGGATGGTGACTACACCCACCCGCAACTAAAATTGAGCACTGCACCTTGAGCTTAGAGGCCATGAGCTGCCGACAGGCAGCCAGAT